CCTGTGTTTTGGCTACATTGATTGCCCAATCGATCGTGCCGTGACACACCCAGATGCTGCGCAGCACAAAGAATAATAAGGAATAAGAAAGGGGAGATTCCTTTCAACGGGCGATCGGACAATCAAGGTAGCCAACACACAGGTGGGATACACGATTAAAATGGTTAAAACTTCAGTCTGCACATTCAGTCTATTTGTTGATGTCCCCGGATATCTTATCTGAGTAACAATCTACATTTTCTGCGAAACGTTACTAACACCTGCAATATAGCTGTCATCCTTAGACCATTGCGGTTACACAGCTTGTTACACATTCTAAACTTTTCCATAAGCTTGAAAACAAACAATGCTGATATTTCTTATTTCACTTACTTAAAACATCAGCAAGAAAAAGTATGTGAACCCCTTGGGATTACGTGGAGTTTTGCATGAATTGGGCATAAAATGTGCTCTGAACGTCATCTAAGTCACAACAATAGAAGAACACAGTCTGCTGAACATAATACTACACAAACATTAGATGTTGCCATGGTTTAATTGCACATAACATGTAAACATTCACAGTGCAGGGAGGAAAAAGTATGTGAACCTTTGGACTTAATAACTGGTTGACCCTCCTTTGGCAGCAATAACCTCAACCAAACGTTTCCTGTAGTTGCAGATCAGACCTGCACAACGATCTGGAGTCATTTTGGACCACTCCTCTTCACAAAACTGTTTCAGTGTAGCAATATTCTTGGGATGTCTGGTGTGAATCGCTCTCTTAAGGTCATGCCACAGCATTTCAATCGGGTTGAGGTCAGGACTCTGACTGGGCCACTCCAGAAGGCGTATTCTGTGCTGTTGCAGCCATTGTTTTGTTGAATTACTTGTATGCTTTGGGTCATTGTCCTGTTGCATCACCCATCCTCTGCGGAGCTTCAGTTGGCGGACAGATGGTCGTACGTTTTCTTGCAAAATGTCTTGATAAACTCTGGAATTCATTTTCCCATCAATGACAACAATCCGTCCAGGCCCTGAGGCAGCAAAGCAGCCCCAAACCATGATGCTCCCTCCGCCATGTTTCACAGTGGGGATGAGGTTTTGATGTTGGTGTGCTGTGCCTTTTTTTCTCCACACATAGTGTTGTGTGTTCTTCCCAAACAACTCAATCTTGGTTTCATCTGTCCACAGTATATTTTGCCAGTAGTGCTGTGGAACATCCAGGTGCTCTTTTGCAAACTTCAAACGTGCTGCAATCTTCTTTTTGGACAGCAATGGCTTCCTCCGTGGTGTCCTCCCATGTACTCCATTCTTGTTTAATGTTTTCCTTATTGTAGATGTGTCAACAAAAATGTTAGCATGTGCCAGAGATTTCTGTAGGTCTTTAGCTGACACTCTGGGATTCTTCTTTACCTCATGCAGCATTCTGCGCTGTGCTCTTGCAGTCATTTTTACAGGACGACCATGCCTAGGGAGAGTAGCAGCAGTGCTAAACTTTCTCCATTTGTAGACAGTCTGTCTTACCGTGGACACATGAACATCAAGGCTTTTGGAGATACTTTTGTAACCCTTTCCAGCTTCATGCAAGTCAACAATTCTTGATGGTAGGTCTTCTGAGAGCTCTTTTCTGCGAGGCATGGTTCACATCAGACAGTGCTTCTTGAAACCAGTAAACCCAAAACAGGTGTGTGTTTTTTAAGGGCAGGACAGCTGTCAGCAACACATCCAATATCATCACACTGATTGGAGTCAAGGTTGGCTCACTCCTGGCTCCAATTATCTCTGGGAGAAGTCATTAAGCTAGGGCCTCACATACTTTTTCCTCCCTGCACTGTGAATGTTTACATGTTATGTGCAATTAAACCATGGCAACATCTAATGTTTGTGTAGTATTATGTTCAGCAAAATGTGTTCTTCTATTTTTGTGACTTAGATGATGTTCAGAACACATTTTATGCCCAATTCATGCAAAACTCCACGTAATCCCAAGGGGTTCACATACTTTTTCCTCCCTGCACTGTGAATGTTTACATGTTATGTGCAATTAAACCATGGCAACATCTAATGTTTGTGTAGTATTATGTTCAGCAGAATGTGTTCTTCTATTGTTGTGACTTAGATGACGTTCAGAACACATTTTATGCCCAATTCATGCAAAACTCCACGTAATCCCAAGGGGTTCAAATAATTACTTTGCTATAAGCAAGCATTTACCTGAATGACATCGATTCATTCAGGTTTTTTTTTTTTTTTTTTTTTTGTGCTTAGCTGTGATTTGGCCACAGCTAATCACATGACATGTGCATGTGACCTGCTGTGACCATTCACAGCTAGACACTAGTAAATAATGGATGGCATGAATGAAGCCATCCATTGTATACAACTGTCATGTGACCTGCTGTGATTGGTCACAGCAGGTCACATAGTACCGGCAATGGGGGTCGGTACTCAGATCTGTCATTGGCCGTGTCCGAAGTACATGGCCGGTGACAGATCGCGCCGCTGCGCGGCTCTGCAACCGAGCGAACTGCGCATATGCGGGAGGACACCAAAAAAGCTGGAGCATTTTTGCGGCCGCCAAAGGGCTATAGGCCGGGCGGCTAATGGTTAATATCTATTGTGCGGTTTGTTTTATATTTCTCTATGCCCAGTAAAGTAAAGTTGACTTTGGTTTCTGAACAGAATCCAGCATTGGGAAATTCCTTTATATTTCTGCTGTAGGAATAACTATTCAGAAAACAAAACCTAGGCGGTTCTGAATAGCCCTGAATCAGGAACGGCTTATTTTGTGTATAAATCCTACCAGTATTTTACATATCCCCTTGGAGTAGTTGAGGGATGGATACTGGTTCAGCCGCCATTGGGAATATATTTTCGCCTGAATGCATGTGTGAACACACCCAACAATCCCCTTTTTCCTCACTTTCTTGTTTTCCAAATTCATGCATAAGCAAGAAATGATGTGGTATGTTTTCCCTGCCTGCCATACTTTGGGGATCCACATTGCCATGTGGTCTGACCAAGGGTTTTATGAGTTAACATCTAGATTAAGTTTTGTTGCAGGTTTGATTATTGGAACTTTTTGGGGGTTTTGGTGGGTAAGGTTAATATCTTCATTTTGGTGGAATGGTCAAAGTTTGGATCTAAGCAAAAGGCCGTGGTGCTGATCCTAGTAGTCCGAACTGTTACTATAAAGGCATGGACACATGGTCCATGTGGAAGTTGTTCGAAGTAGGCTACCATGTCCTTCTCCAGGGACATAGGCAATGGTTTTTTTTGTAGCTTTGCAACACCCCCCGGGCTATTATATAGGGGCCCCTAGGGATCGCCCCCCCCTTTCCCGAGTTGCTAGTCTACTTTTATAGATCACTCTACCTCCTGGACTGAGGGGATGACTTGAACCTTCAGGTAGATATAGAATTCTCATTGTTACAACAAAGGTCGCAAAAAGCAGTATTAGCACGTATATTGCCAGGCTTATCTTGCAATATTTGGGAATGCAATGAGGTTTCCCATTCCCTTTTGGTTTGTCAGAAGAAAGGGGGTCCTTTGTTGTATCGGAATCCCCGTTGTCCTGAGACCCCTCTTCTTCCTGAATACCTGACAATTCTCCTGATTTGTATTGTCTAAAAAACTGTAGGATTTTTCCATTTCTCATCAGTCAATTTCATTTTGAATCGAAAATGTGCACTAAGTGGATGTGGTTCATTCAGTGCCCTGATAAAGGGGTCCTCTATCAGATCAATCATGTGTTTGTTGACCATCTCTGTCATATATAGTCATATTCCTTCACTGTAGTCGGGTCAGTAGGGTGTAAGATCTCATTCCGCAAGATCTCACACCGTGGGGTCAAAATGACACCTGTCCACAACCTCAAACAGTCACACTCCAAACTCCACTATGGTGAAGACCAAAGAGCTGTCGAAGGACACCAGAAACAAAATTGTAGACCTGCACCAGGCTGGGAAGACTGAATCTGCAATAGGCAAGCAGCTTGGTGTGAACAAATCAACTGTGGGAGCAATAATTAGAAAATGGAAGACATACAAGACCACTGATATTCTCCCTCGATCTGGGGCTGCACGCAAGATCTCACCCCGTGGGGTCAAAATGATCACAAGAACGATGAGCAAAAATCCCAGGACCACACGGGGGGACCTAGTGAATGATCTGCTGAGAGCTGGGACCAACGTAACAAAGGCTACCATCAGTAACACACTACGCCGCCAGGGACTCAGATCCTGCAGTGCCAGACGTGTCCCCCTGCTTAAGCCAGTACATGTCCGGGCCCGTCTGAAGTTTGCTAGAGAGCATTTGGATGATCCAGAAGAGGATTGGGAGAATGTCATATGGTCAGATGAAACCAAAATAGAACTGTTTGGTAGAAACACAACTCGTCGTGTTTGGAGGAGAGAGAATGCTGAGTTGCATCCAAAGAACACCATACCTACTGTGAAGCATGGGGGTGACAACATCATGCTTTGGGGCTGTTTCTCCGCAAAGGGACCAGGACGACTGATCCATGTACAGGACAGAATGAATGGGGCCATGTATCGTGAGATTTTGAGTGCAAACCTCCTTCCATCAGCAAGGGCATTGAAGATGAAACATGGCTGGGTCTTCCAACATGACAATGATCCCAAACATACCGCCCGGGCAACAAAGGAGTGGCTTCATAAATGATGCCAATTACAGGCCTCTCTCATATATTTTAAGTGGAAGAACTTGCACAATTGGTGGCTGACTAAATACTTTTTTGCCCCACTGTACATCCAAATCGGAGGAAGGGTTTAGGAATTACAGCTCTCAAAGGACCAAAAGTGGACAATTGAATCAAAAGCTATTTCATGGCCAGGTGTGGGCTACTCCTTTGTTATTTCTTCATCAATGAAGCAGGTAAAAGGTCTGGAGTTGATTCCAGGATAAGAAAATCGTCCAAAAAATTGAATGGAACCACTGATTGAACAATTTGCTCTTCATTGATTAGCAGGATGTTTTAACCACTTCCTGTCCGGCCCGTGTACATAAACGGCCAGAGGGGAGCAGTGCAGGGGCAGGTGGCCGTTTATAAACAGCCTCCCTGCCGCCTGCTTGTGCACGCTCCCTGGGAGAGCACAGCACCTCGATCCATTGCCCGCTGCGTCTTCCAGACACAGTGGAACACCGATCGTTGTATGGGATTCTCTGTGCGAGGTCCCGATCATGTGATCACTGATCGGCCAATCAGTGATCACATGCTGAGTAGTAAGCAAGATGTCACTTCTGACATCATTGCTTACTACGTGTGAAAACTGTGAATGATCACAGAGGTCACATGGTACAGGACTACACATGGCACAGGTACAACAGCCTTGTACCATGTGACAAACTGTGACCAATCACAGCTCACACAGTATTTCTCAATGGCTGCAAAAATGCAGCCAGAGAAATGGAGAAATGATTGCTTTTACATCCTTTATGGGTGTAAAAGCAATCAGTGTAAAAAAAAAAATCTTCATAAGCCCCCACAAGTAGTACAGTGTCACTATGGTGACTGTACTGCTAGGGTGACGGTATGTAAAAAAAAAAAAAATATAAATAATAATATAAATAAATAAAATTAAAATGTAAACATTTTTTTTTTAAAATTGTAATTTTTGGTTATAAACTAATTTGGGTTTTTTTTACTAAAAAGATAACTGGATAAATGTGGCCAAGATTTATGAAGAAAGATTATTTATTTAAAAAATGTTATAAGAAAAAACTCTTTTTTTCAAGATTTTTGGACTTTTTCATTTATATTGCAAAAAAAAAATTAAAATCCCAGCGGTGAATAAATACCACCATAATAAAGCTTTCTCTGTCTCAGAAAAATGCTAAAAAATTCATACGGGTACAGTGTTGCATGACAGCACAATTGTCATTCAAAGTGTGATAGTGCTGAAAGCTTAAAATTGGCCTAGGGGCAGGAAGGGGGGTGAAAGTGTCCGGACTGAAGGGGGGTGAAAGTGTCCGGACTGGAAGGGGGGTGAAAGTGTCTGGACTGAAAGGGGGTGAAAGTGTCTGGACTGAAAGGGGGTGAAAGTGTCTGGACTGGAAGGGGGGTGAAAGTGTCCGGACTGGAAGGGGGGTGAAAGTGTCCGGACTGAAAGGGGGTGAAAGTGTCCGGACTGGAAGGGGGGGAAAGTGTCCGGACTGGAAGGGGGGGAAAGTGTCCGGACTGGAAGGGGGTGAAAGTGTCCGGACTGGAAGGGGGGAAAGTGTCCGGACTGGAAGGGGGGTGAAAGTGTCCGGACTGGAAGGGGGTGAAAGTGTCCGGACTGGAAGGGGAAAGTGTCCGGACTGGAAGGGGGTGAAAGTGTCCGGACTGGAAGGGGGGGAAAGTGTCCGGACTGGAAGGGGGTGAAAGTGTCCGGACTGGAAGGGGGGGAAAGTGTCCGGACTGGAAGGGGGTGAAAGTGTCCGGACTGGAAGGGGGGTGAAAGTGTCCGGACTGGAAGGGGGGGAAAGTGTCCGGACTGAAAGGGGGTGAAAGTGTCCGGGGGTGAAAGGTCCGGACTGGAAGGGGGGGAAAGTGTCCGGACTGGAAGGGGGGGAAAGTGTCCGGAAAGTGTCCGGACTGGAAGGGGGGGAAAGTGTCCGGACTGGAAGGGGGTGAAAGTGTCCGGACTGGAAGGGGGTGTGAAAGTGTCCGGACTGGAAGGGGGGGAAAGTGTCCGGACTGGAAGGGGGGGGAAAGTGTCCGGACTGGAAGGGGGGGAAAGTGTCCGGACTGGAAGGGGGGGAAAGTGTCCGGACTGGAAGGGGGTGAAAAGTGTCCGGACAGGAAGGGGGTGAAAAAGTGTCCGGGCAGGAAGGGGGTGAAAGTGTCCGGACTGGAAGGGGTGAAAGTGTCGGACTGTAAGGGGGTAAAAGTGTCCGGACTGGAAGGGATGAAAGTGTCCGGACTTGATGTGGTTAAGAGTAGCCACCCCCCTTTTTTTTCAAGGGACCAAAAGTAATTGAACAATGGAATCAAAAGCTGTTGCATGGCCAGGTGTGGGCTACTCCTTCGTTATTTCTTCAACAATGAAGCAGGTAAAAGGTTTGGAGTTGATCCAAATGACCCATACAAATGATAAGAAAATTGTGGAAAATCTAGTGGAACCGCTGATTGAACGATTGTCTCTTCGATAACGATAACCATATTGTGAATGAAAAAAATCCGGTCAAACAACAGTGAAAAAGGTTGTCATTTCGAACGACCGATTTTCTATGCGGCGGTATGACGGTCGTGCGAAAAAAATCTATCAAGCGCTATCACGCATGAGCAGAAACAGAAGATGACCCGGATGTTTATGTCCAAGGAATCTTCGTGAACACGAACGAAAAATCCAAATGTTAAAAGTAGATCGGCCTAATGAGACATTAAAGCAGAATTCTGCATATTATATTTTATGTGTCACTATCAGTGGCGGACTGACAAGTCATGGGGCCCCCGGGCAATAGGGGATCATGGGGCCCCTGTGTCCTTGCCCACACTCAAAAAAGCCTGTAAAAGGTACCAGGGGCATTTCATGGGGCCCCCTACTGACCTCGGGCCCTCGGGCAGTGCCCGAGTGCTCGAATGGTCAGTCCGCCCCTGGTCACTATTTATGTATATAGGTCATGTGATAAACGATATTATACTCATTGCTGGTCATTGTTGGGTAGATCGCTTGTTCTGGCCAAAAGGGCGTGGCTACAAGGTCACACGCACACTGCATCACTTCCACTTGTACGGAAGACGTTACCACTACGTATTGCCCGACAAACGATTTTTTTAGATTGGTTAATGAGGGCCACAATTTCAACTAACAAACAAAGGCCTCTCGGTCGTCGGATGACCGATCGGTCGATTTTCTAATCGTGTATTCCCACCTTAAGTGCGGTATTTGCATTTGGAATCTATTGCTGTGAACCTCCATTATGTGTTCGAAGGAGCTGTCCATGCAAGTGAAACAGGTCATTGTAAGGATTCAAAAACGAAACCAATCCATCAGATTGCAGTAGCATCAGAAGTGGCCAAATCAACAGTTTGGTTCATTCTGAGGAAAGAAGAACGCACTGGTGAGCTCAGCAACATAAAAAAGGCATGGAGGTCCACGGAAGACAACAGTGGTGGATGATTGCAGGATTCCCTCTTTGGTAAACCCATTCACAACATCCAGACAAGTGAAAGACACTCTCCAGGAGGGGGGCATATCATTGTCTAAGTCTACGATCAACAGGAGACTTCACAAGAGCAAATACAGAGGGTTCACCACAAGGTGCAAATACAGAGGGTTCACCACAAGGTGCAAATACTGAGGGTTCACCACAAGGTGCAAATACAGAGGGTTCACCACAAGGTGCAAATACAGAGGGTTCACCACAAGGTGCAAATACAGAGGGTTCACCACAAGGTGCAAATACAGAGGGTTCACCACAAGGTGCAAATACAGAGGGTTCACCACAAGGTGCAAACCATTCATAAGTCTGAAGAATAGAAAAAGGCATGGACGTCCACAGAAGACAACAGTGGTGGATGATTGCAGTATTCCCTCTATGGTAAACCCATTCACAACATCCAGACAAGTGAAAGACTCTCTCCAGGAGGGGGGCGTATCATTGTCTAAGTCTACGATCAACAGGAGACTTCACAAGAGCAAATACAGAGGGTTCACCACAAGGTGCAAATACAGAGGGTTCACCACAAGGTGCAAATACAGAGGGTTCACCACAAGGTGCAAACCATTCATGTCTGAAGAATAGAAAAAGGCATGGACGTCCACGGAAGACAACAGTGGTGGATGATTGCAGTATTCCCTCTATGGTAAACCCATTCACAACATCCAGACAAGTGAAAGACACTCTCCAGGAGGGGGGCGTATCATTGTCTAAGTCTACGATCAACAGGAGACTTCACAAGAGCAAATACAGAGGGTTCACCACAAGGTGCAAATACAGAGGGTTCACCACAAGGTGCAAATACTGAGGGTTCACCACAAGGTGCAAATACAGAGGGTTCACCACAAGGTGCAAATACAGAGGGTTCACCACAAGGTGCAAATACAGAGGGTTCACCACAAGGTGCAAATACAGAGGGTTCACCACAAGGTGCAAATACAGAGGGTTCACCACAAGGTGCAAACCATTCATAAGTCTGAAGAATAGAAAAAGGCATGGACGTCCACAGAAGACAACAGTGGTGGATGATTGCAGTATTCCCTCTATGGTAAACCCATTCACAACATCCAGACAAGTGAAAGACACTCTCCAGGAGGGGGGCGTATCATTGTCTAAGTCTACGATCAACAGGAGACTTCACAAGAGCAAATACAGAGGGTACAGAGAGGTTCACCACAAGGTGCAAATACAGAGGGTTCACAACAAGATGCAAATATAGAGGTGGATTCACCACAAGGTGCAAATACAGAGGGTTCACAACAAGATGCAAATATAGAGGGACTTCAAGAGCAAATACACAAGGGTTCACCAAATACAGAGGGTTCACACAAGATGCAAATATAAAGGGTTCACCACCACAAGGTGCAAATACAGAGGGTTCACCACAAGGTGCAAATATAGAGGGTTCACCACAAGGTGCAAACCATTCATAAGTCTGAAGAATGGAAAAAGGAATGGACGTCCACGGAAGATAACAGTGGTGGATGATCGCAGGATCCTCTCTATGGTAAAGGAAAAGCTATTCACAAAATCCAGACAAGTGAAGGACACTCTCCAGAAGGTGGGCGTATCATTGTCAAAGACTACAATCAAGAGAAGACTTCAAGAGAGCAAATACAGAGGGTTCACCACAAAGTGCAAGCCATTCATAAGTCTGAAGAATAGAAAAGCCAGATTAGACTTTGCCAAAAAAAATCTAAAAAAGCTGGACCAGTTCTGGAAAAGCATTCCTTGGACGGATGAAACTAAGATGAATCTGTACCAGAAGAAAAAAGTGTGGGATCCAGTTAACCTACCAGCATGTCTTTGGAGTGTGGGAGGAAACCCACGCAGGCACAGGGAGAACATGCAAATTCAGGCAGGTGGTGGCCTTGTTGGGATTTGAACCAACAACCCGAGTACTGCCAGGTGGAAGTGCTAACTATTTACCCACTAAGCTTAACCAGTTGAAGGCTCTGTACTGTTAGAATGATAAGGTCGTGGACCTCCCTTCCACAAATGGTGGTGTCAGTGGAAAGTATTGACAATGGGAAGTGTTAAAGACATAAATTCTTTCTTGGATACACAGAATATAACTGGATATAACATTTATAGGTAAAGTTGATCCAGGGAATATCCGATTGCCTCTCGGGAGATCAGGAAGGAGTTTTTTTCCCAACAGGAGCAAATTGGATCGTGATTTGCTGGGTTTTTTTGCCTTCTTCTGGATCAACTCTGGGTGTAGGATTATAACTTTTTTTCTTTTAATGTTTGTACTGGATGGACTTTTGTCTTTTTTTAGCCAGACTAACTATGTAACCAGGGGTGGACTGACCATTTGGAATTCGGGCACTGCCCGAGGGCCCGGGGTCAGTAGGGGGCCCCATGAGATGCCCCTGGTACCTTTTTCATAGGCTTTTTTGAGTTCGGGCAAGGACACAGGGGCCCCATGATACCCTATTGCCCAGGGGCCCCATGAGTTGTCAGTCCGCCCCTGTATGTAACTATAAATCCATACACTCATCCACACACGTAGAACTGGATGGACTGATGTCTTTACCAGGGGCAAGCTGACAACTCATGGGGCCCCCGGGCAAATGGGGGATCATGGGGCCCTGTGGACTGTGATGTAAACGGGAACACTGTGGACTGTGATGAAAAGGAGAACGCTGTGGACTGTAATGTAAAGGGGAACACTGTGGACTGTGACGTAAAGGGGAAACACTGCGGACTGTGATGTAAAGTGGAACACTGATGTGATAACTGGGTAAAGGGTAACTCTGATGTAAGGGGGTCTCTGGTCATCAGAGCCCCTCCTCTTATAGAAGAGTCCCCAGAGTTCTCCTTTACATCAGAATCTGCAGGGTTCCCCTTTACAGTGCAAGGACCCTGATGTAAAAGGGAACACTGATGTAAGGGGGACACTGCGGACCATAATGTAAAGGGGAACTCTGATGTAAGGTCTTCTCTGGTCACCACAGCCCTCCCCCCCTTATATCATAGTCAGCAGCATTCCCCTTTACATCAGGATCTGCAGTTTTCCCTCTTACATCAGAGTTCCCCTTTACATCAGGGTCCTCTTGCACTGGGGGGAGGGGGCTCTGGTGACCACAGCCCCCTTCACATGTCTGTGGAGGGGGTGGGTGATGTTGCATTGTGTACACAGTGACCTGTTCAGTTTGATCTAACCTCCCCTCCCCCCCTTCTGTGTGCAGGCA